GCAGAGCCTATAGAAGAAGAAGAAGGGAGAGAAGGAACGTGTTCTCGGGGGTACGCAAACGTTGGGCTGGGGGGTTCGCTCCTGCGCGCTCCGCGAGGGGTGCGCATAGCCTATAGAAGAAGAATAAGAAGAAAAACAGGGAGGGAGGGAGAGAGAGAGACCCAGTTGAGAAGGGGAGAAGTACATTCCAGGAGGGAACATGCGGGAATTCATGATTACCCAACGTACACGTATTCGGTATGTTGTCTGATCCTGCAACCCGTGCTTATGTTGCATCCGAATGTTCACTATCCCGAGCCTCCTGAAATCGCCAAGACTGGGACACTCGCGGGGTTGGGGTCTGGCCCCAGCAGGGCCCCAGGGTCAGATGAAGACTGCCGGTGTACGCTTTGGCTCAAGCGTGGCTAAAGCCCGTGGTAGACGGCATGTTGCGGCAACAAGGAGTTGTCGACCTAAGGGCAAAACGCAAAAACAGAAGAGTGTGCATTTGTGCTGCAAGGAGGCCTCATGCTATATGTGCAGGCGCCGCAGGAAGGCAGCTACTGCCTGGTTCAGCGGCTATGTTGCTGCGGTCTGTGTGCATTGAACCTGGCTGCGGGTGATATGTTAAATGCAGGTCTCCACCATTATGGTTGAAACCGATGGCGTGCTACCTGCGCCGGTACCAGGGGGGCAACAAGTTCTGGGAAAGCTGGAGTGTGGTGCGTGGTCAGGTGGAGACTTCCAGTTCACCGGACCGATCCGCCGAGGCTGGGATGTGAAGAAGAAAAAGTTCTCTTCAAGCTAACGTGAAAGCAGGTGCCCCGCCGAATAGGGTGCAGAGCTGAGCAGCTGTGATGCGGCTGAAAGCACCCCTTCAGGAATCCTTTCTGCCTAGGTGTGGATTCTTGCCGCCTGGCACCCAGCTCCCACAGGTGCCATCGGAACAGAGAAGCTGGGTAGTCGAGGTACTTCCTGCTCTGTCTCCTCGTTTCGGGTGTTCCATGTGCAGCCTCCGTGGTTCTCTGGTCTGACATGGGCCTTAAGCTTGGACGTCTTGAGCTTATGTTCGCCACTTCCCCAAGGAAGCAGTGAGCTTGCAGTCAGGATATGGTCAGGAAGTGTACGCTTATTTCTTCGGCGGCACAGATTCCTGGCTGAAAATTAGCTGTTTGCAATCCGCTTCTGGTTGAGCTCGTGCTGCCAAATTCCAGAACTTTCTGTAGCACGACACATTCTTCTGAAACATGCTGAATCAGAGTCTTCCCATGCCTTTTGAGAGGAGAAGGGCGCAATCTACGCCTCCCTGGCCATGGTCCTGGTGCTGTGCCTGTGAGCCGCCTGAAAACCATCTGAAACATTTCAGGGCCTTTGTCCTAGGTTTTCTGCTAGACACAGATTTGGGCAGGTACTTGATGGACTTCTTCTGGCCGCCGCACTTGGAAGGCAACGCTGCGCTCACTGCAAGACATCACTCGCAACTGAAATGCTGGCTGAAGGTCAGTACTTCGTGCTGTGTGACAAGGACCTGGAATTTACCCAAGAAGTGGTTGGGTTCGCGCGTAGGTGCGAAGAATTCAGGCACAGCCAGGCCGGTCGGGGTACGGTTTGAGGTCCTCCTGGCTCACCGGATCCCAGACCACACTTTGACGGAGAATTTTCCGGGAGACCGCTAGCCGTTCCAAGCTGCGGAGTACGCTGCTGGATCCATTCCAGCCCACCTCACTGCAGGCAGACGCGCTGCGGACGGCGTTTCGACCCTCCCTCCCTCCCTCCCTCTCTCTCTCTCGGCTCGCTTTGGTCAAAAATTGGCGGCCTCTCTCTCTCACAGTGCGTCTTTTGTACTCCAGACGGTTTTGTAGTGCTTTTTTGGTGGCGCCTGAGGACATGTTCGCAGGAAGAAGCATTTTGGGAGTGGCAGGTCTTTTGCCCGGAGCCCAAAATCCAACAGCACCAACAGCACCAAAAGCATTACAAAAAGCTCAGCAAAACCTCGGCTTCAGCTTGGCTTCAGCTTGGCTCAGGCTCTTCGGGGCGGCCCTGAATTTGGCTGAGGCCAAGCATCCTCCAGCATTTTTCTACAAAGCTATCAGATGGTGTTCGGCTTTCCGGCTTCGTGAGACCTACCCGTCGGTGCCCATCCAGTGCACGGTGCGAGCTTAAGGGGCTGCAGGGGGCCTTGAGCGTTCAGTGCGGTCGGCAAAAATTGAGGTGTTGCTTGGCCCCCTTCTGACGACAGTGGTGTCGCCTCCTCAATTGTAGCTGCTGCCTTTCGGTTGGCTTTCAAATCCGGCCCACAGCTCTGAAGCTCAGGCGGGCATTGACGCGGCCCGTGCCTGAAGATGGCGTGGAGCTGGATCAGGCCGCTGAGAAGCAAGACTGAAGCAGTCTTGCACATGCCCATGCCGCCTGAGGTTGGGCATCTGCACAGCATGCGCCTGATGAAAATGCAGTTTGCGCCCCAAACTTCTGTGTTTGTGCCTCTGGAACTCCAGCACTTCAGGCGCTACGTTGGTTCAGAAAGGGATGCCACTGCTTTTTACGCTGGCAGCATGACGGCCTTCTTCCTGTCGCAGTGCTGAGTTTTTTGTTATGCCAAGTGTTTAGATTGCCTGCTTGAGTTCCCTGACTCAGGCTTGGGCTCTTGACGCTGACTGTATGGTTGGTGCTCCAACCTCAGGAGAGCAAAGCAAAGCAAAGCAAAGCAATAGATAGAACGATGATATGAGCAGCTTTTTTGGTTACAGGTGGGCGTTGAGCGAGAACATCGACTTCAGTGATGTTACCTTCGGCAACACTGAATCAGCCCGCCTCCGAAGGCTCCACAAGAGAGCCTGCATGTCACGGAAGCTTCAGGAGCTGAAATACATCCGCTGGGTATCACCCGTGGCCAGGGCCCAAGGCACCCAATCACCAGTGTACCAGGCATTGGAGACCTGAGGCAGTGGGATTGGCCTATTTGATGTTCGGCCTCATAGTTTCCCTGAGAGTTGGACTAGCTGGGACTTACAACCACGGCGACATGCTGCTTCAGATGGTGACGGAATCCGAGCAAGTCACAGCAACTCGGGCCAAGAAAGATCACATGTTATGTGCGCGGCAGATCACAAGTTATCAAATGTCCACTGGCCCAGATGAGCAATGGGCGGAAGCCAGGAGCCTACTGAATGCAAGCCTAAGCCTAAGCATGTCCCAGAATGTCCGCATTCCGACTTTTGGAGGTCTGTGCGGCGGAAGACTTTGGTGGGCATGGTCGCACAGCAGCTTGAGCAAGAGGATGCAGACTGCAAGCCTGGTGGCTCAGATTTCTTCTGAGACCGTTTCATGTGGACTGCTCCGGCGCGCGAGGCTCGCCTTCGACAAGCTAAGCCAAGGGCTTGGAGGGGTTGGACTTTCGTGCTCTCTGCAGCTTTCAGTGTCCTTCAGGCAACATGCAGAAGGATAAGTTTGCAGAGAAGCAGATGTTGCTGACTCAGAGGGCTTGCTGCAGTTTGCTGCATTTGCTGGCGTGTCTCTTTGGATCGTGGCCGAGGCAAAACTTGGATCTTGTGTCGCGTATGATCAAGGTTTGTGGCTGCGTCTTCGTGTTAATGCTGGGATCCGAACATTCGAATCCTTCGAGACTCCAGAATACAGAAATGCTTTCTCATGAGGTTCGGCACCACCTGGATGGCTTCCCAGCTTGTTTCCTCCAGCAGTCATCTCTCGGATCTTGCAAGCGGCTCAGAATCTAGTCAATCTAATCTTGAGATCTGTCGGCTTGCATTGCTTGCATGTTGCTGTCTGTTTGGAGGTTCTGGGCTTCCTCGGAGTCTTCAGCATCAGCTTTTGCCTCTTCGTGCTGGTGGCTTTCCAGCGGCTGAAGACCGCCAGAGCCTGGAAGAGACAGAACGATGACTTTCAATTGGTTTCCAGGGTTTTTTCTACGAGGAGGGTTCTCACTACGCAGGCAGCTTTTGCATTGCTCGACTGGGTTGATTTGGGCAGAGACAGGGTGAGTTCTGTGGCAAGTTGACAGCCTCGATTCTGATGCTAACCACGCGAACCTCTGTAATATCACGGAGTGCTAATCAATCTGCGTCACTTCGAGGCTTTGGCTCGAGAGGGGCAATGATTCTGTACAGTAGTAGTCAGTGGCTTGAGGTCCTGTTCCGCTATGCCGGGACTGTTTGGCCACACATCTGGCAAAAATGGCTGGTTACGACCCTGTATTCCGTTTTGGCCTACCTGGTTGCCCTTGAGACGGGGCTGGTTTTCGGGACAGAAGATCATTCCATGCTGCTACCCATATCCGTGACGTTTCTGCTAATCTTCCGAGCCAACGAGGCCTACGCCCGCTACTGGCTGGGGCGTTCGACTCTGTCGAACTACATCTCGGAAGTTCGGGAGGTGTTGCTCTTATCCATCATTTACGTGCGCGGTGGCCTTGAGTCCTCAATCCACCTTTTCCATCAAGGTCCTGGAATAGCTGTTTCTTCCTACGTAAAATCAGACCATTATGATGAGAAGGCGCGCAACTATCGCGTGGATGTTGCGCGGCTGAGTGTGGCGCTGGCCGTGGCATTCAAGTTGCACACCAGCATTGCGCTAGATGGATATTGTTTTGGCAGCATTGACAAAGAGACCAAATGGTTTCTGGATTGGGATCGCCTTCGTTTGTTGCAGCTTCTCACTGAAGAAGAGTTTGAGATTGTCAATCAATGTGTTGGCCTGGCTGAGGTGGCCGAGGACGAGTCGGTTGCAGAGACGCGCAGAAGACTTGCAAGCCAGTTTCATGATGCTCAGAACTTGGAAGGTCCTCCAGGATCTTGGGATGACGAGTTTCTGGTCAGGGTTGACCAATTTGTGCGGGTTCCTGTTGCCATTGCCTGGTTCCTGAGAGAGGTCCTCTTCAGAAACATGAATGACCCGTTCAACACTCAGCCTTGGGGAATCAAAGACAGGTTCGTAGGAGCCCTGGTCCACTTGCTGAGTGGTATTCTGGAATCTTTCGAGACGGCCCACATGGTTTGTACAACGCCCATCCCGCTTCCCTATGCCAACCTGTGCAAGACACTGCTTTGCTTTTACCTGATATCTGCTCCCTTCTATGTGGACCCCAGCCGGGGATGGTTTGCAAACACCTTGGTGCCCTCCGTCATCTGTTTCGCGTTGCTCGGAGTGGATGCAATCGCAACTGAACTGGAGCAGCTTGTCATGTGTGTCACAGATCTTTTAACCCTGGGAAGGCACTTTTCTTGAATCCAGCTTTTTCCAATTATTTTTCCCCAATTCCCAGGAACCCCTTTGGCGATGATGTGAACGACCTGGATCAGCTAGAGCAAGTCCATATCCTTGAGCGGGAGGCTATGGAGCTGCTAAGACAGTCAGGGGACATGAAGGGCTGCAGCATCTTTGGGTGGCAGGAGGTTCCGGACTTCGTAAGTTGCAAGTGTTGTCGCAGTTTGAAGACGCAGCTCGTGGTCAAGGACCTGGCTTTGCTACAGGTTATGCCGCTGGTTGCAGAGGAGGATACGGTCCCTGCTTGGTTGTTGGACCGCAAGGAAGAAAGCCGCCAGAAGGCGGCGGCTTGGTCCCTCACATAGCCCAAAGACCGGCTGGTGAAAAACATCGTGCTCCTAGCCACTTCGTAGCAGAGTGGTCTGCGGCGAGATGCGTGTGATCCAAGGTGATGGCTGACTGGTGCAAGGCACGGACTACTGCCTGTAGTGAGCAAAGTTCTAAGAACGTTTTTGCCAGAATCTTCCGCTATACCGGCTCTCCGTTAGTCTGGTCCAAAGCTGATACCTCAGAGTCAATCTTCCCCCTGGATTTGTTTTGCGTGTTGCGCCTGCCCACTCGAGGCGATTGGGTCCGAGCTCTTCTTGCTGCAGTCCCAGATGGTTTTTGCGGTTGCTTGGATGCCCGAGCGTGGGCAGCATCAAGGCCTTTGGTTTCAGCCCCATTGTTCCCTTCGTGCAGGAAGCCTCAGAACGGAGCTTAAAGCAGAGTCTTGTTTGAGCCAGCCGCATCGAGTCAGGTTGGTCCTCTCCTGCGTGAACCAGAAGGTTCGCAGGTGGCGGGGTCTTCCAACTATCACCTACGAGGTGCAAGAGCTCGCAAAGCAGACAACCCTTAAATTGCTGCAATTCCTCAGGCAGGAGAAAGCTCGTGGATAGCTTAGTTCCGTGCGTTGCGGAGCGGTTTCTTACGGGCACTTATCAGAGGATGAGGTGAACGTGCGCTATCTGACACCAGCCACAGTACTACATACATACTCAGCAGTAAGCCCTTGTATACTCTCCGCCCGCAAGAGTTTTACGGCTGAAGTCAAGCATCCAGCGACAACGTGCAAGTGCAGATCAGGCTCCCATTCGCGCCGGAAAGTGACGCGGTGCGCTTGGCATGCTTGGGACATTTGGCACAACTCGGCCACATAGACAGTCCTTAGAGGAAAACGAAACGAGGGTCCGGGTCAGGAGCACCTCTGGTTGACACAACGGGTCTCTTACCAGGCGCGAAGGCTATGTGCAATTTTGTGCACCTTTCAAAGCTCCAAGTGCCTTGCAGGTTGAAGCAATGCGCTTGGACTGGAACTGGATTTCAATCTTCATGAAGATGTATGTGTTCGGTCCGAACCTTGGAGATCCATGCAGCGGGCCAGTTTCTCTTGGCCACTTGCGAGCCCAGGCCTTCTAATGCTCCTGTACGTGGCCTTTCCGATTTTGTTGAACATCTTCCTCTCCTGGTGCAGCGAGATGCAGCGAGAGTCTTAAAGTTCTGTGCGTGAAGCGAGCAGAGAGTGCTGCAGGCTCAGCTCGGCACTACAGGGCTTTGACTTTGGCCTGGTCTGCGTCTGCATTGTCTTGGCAGGCTTGACGGCTTGACACTAGAAGCACTTCAGAGCACAGTGCCGCAGTACATTGCAGTGCTGCACAGTTCTCATAAAGAGGTCTTTGCTGCTTCTTGCTTCCCCCGGCAATTTCCTCGGCAGAAGGGCCGACGCGTTTTTCTTGGGCAGTGTGCACGCCTGTCCATCACCGAGGTCCCAGGCGTGCCTGTCTACCTCTTCGCGGGGATCATCATCGCCGACAAGTGCCCACTGGGCCGGGAGATCCGAGAAGTAAAAGAGGGAGGAGGAAGAGGGAGGAGAAACCGAGACAGGGTCAAAAGAGGGAGAGCCGCTGTGGAAGTCTGAGTTCAGTGTTGCTTCGCATATCTTCGCATGTTGTTCTGCAGTCCTTTGGCCTCATGCTGATACTGAGAATGCTGTTGCGAGTCCCTGTACATGCAAATCGGTGTGGCCTGTTGCGCCTAGTCGTGACCCTTACGCCTGTGTTATCACTTTGCCAGCATAGGTGGAGAACTCCGAATGTGTAGCATCAGTGATCATTCGGGAGCGCAAGCGTCTGTCCGCTTCCTTGCAAAGCAAAGAGAGTGAGAAAAAGGGTGCAGAGGGAGTGGAGTCGTGGAGTCAGAGTGATCGGAGTGATCGTTCTTTGAAGGCTTCGAGGCCGGAGCCGGCATTGCCATCGGCGTGGGCTTCGTGCTGAAGCTTATGGCATGTGCCATGCAGCAGCCACCCAGAGAAAGATGATTTCTCTACACAACTCTTGGTTAGTGTCCCATCTTTAGGAAGATGATTGGAGAGCGCCTTGGGGCGAACCTTACAATCCGAGCACAGGTGTGAGAACATACCCCGCAATCCACGCTACAGACTGCTGCACGTCAGGTGGGGATCAACACGCCCATGATCCGCGCCATAGAGGTCTCTCCTTAATTGTATCGCAGCCGTGAGACTCAGCGAAGTCTGTGGCTGAAGGCCGTGCTGCGCACCCCGGGCATGAGTGTTGGCAAGGTGCCAACATTCGCCAACAGTTTCTAAAGGTGTTTGGGGTCTGGCGGAGAGCCTTGCTGCCTAGCTGCGTGCTTCGTAGCTGCAGAACAGGTGTCAATCCTTTGCGGTGGGCCGGATTGGTAGCAGCCTCGCAGTTTAGAAGTTGGAGTCAAGGCTGTTGCAAAGTTAAGGCAGCTCATGAAGCATTTAGGCCAACTTCCGTTCTTGCTGGCATTCTGCACCTGTCGCTCCTTGAGTGTGAAATCGGAACCTTGCGGGGCGCTCAGATGCAGAGTGTGAGGCAAGTGTTTCTGCTGACAGCAAGAAAGGCCTATCATCTTCTTTGTGGCTGCTTGCTCTCTGTCTGGCTCTTTTTACTTGAAGCAGGACGAGAGTGAGGTGCAAGCAGGGAACGCATGTCGTGCAATCATGCGCAATCTTATGCCAAGTGTGATGCTGCAGTTGTGGGATCGGGCGGCTACGTTCATGATGTCGGCCACGCGCCCGAGACAAGCCTGAGCAGCAACTGCGCGTCAGATTGTGCACAGGAAGTTCGCTTTCCAGGCAACAGACCGGCAGCGGCCAGTAAGATAATTTGAGGGTAGCCATTCGATTGGTCAGATGATTCAAGATGGTCAGATGGAACCTGCGAGGCATGTGCTGCCAAGGTCACTGAAGTCACCTACAAATCAGGTTTATCTTTTGAAGCGGAGAGCATTCCTGACGCGTCCAGAACCAGCTGGCAGAGACCCGAACATTCTCGAGTGCTGTTATAGTCAAGCAGGCCCTTGTTGGCAAAACCTTCCAAAAGAGTCTTCATCCCTATCCCTGACTGTGGCAGCTCTCCATGGTTCTGGTTTCGAGGCCTCGGTTTTCCTGTGCATGCTGCTCCAGGCGAGGGGACACTTCAGGGTTCGGGTCTTTGGAGCGCTTTATTTGCTTTGGCCCTTCTGCCAGATCATGGGGGCTTGGGCCATCCAGACGCAGTTAGACAGGAACGAGTGGGAGGCTGCGGCCACAGCATGTATCAAGCGCTTCTTGCAGCAAGAATAAAGATCGCTACGGGAGTCACGTGTTTCTGCAGTTGACGAAGCCGTTGGAGCAGAACGTAGAGCTGGACTGGCTGGACTTCCGTTGGCAGGAAATGTCCCGGAAGGCTGCCGTCAGGCCGATTGTTTGATGCATTTCTCCGCAGAAAACCCCTGCATGCCCCGGTGGCTCAGGTGGACCGATGTCCCAACTTGGCTCCGCTTTGTGACTGTCTTTGGAGTCCTCCTTCAGGCAGCCTTTTCTGCGTTGAAAGCTGCCTTGTAGCAAATCACTTTGCAGGTCTTAGTTGGGCAGGTCTTCTACTGGAGGCGCCCTACAAATCTAGGATTTACTCGCTGGCCACTTGATCACTTTCCACTCTGGTGTCTTTCTTGTTTGAGGTCTTCCATGTGTGTTGCCGCCATGTTTCAGGGAAAGCTTTGTTGCCTGGTTTGAGAGATGGTCTTGCCAGGCTTTGGCGAGTTCGAGGTCACGGATGACATAAACTCCTTGCAATGGTGGGTAGACGGCGAGTCGGGGTGCAGATCCTCAGAATGCAATCTACCTTCGCATGTGCGGCAAAAGCTTGATGGTTGCGTGTGGCTCAGCTATGATAGCTTCAGGCTGATCCTTCTTCCAGGACAGGTCATATTATTGCTCTCGAAAGCTGACTGTCACGATGCTTCAAACGAGGACTTGTATGCTGCTGCCTCTCCATCGGAGGTGCGGAGGTCCAAAGTGGATGTCGCTCTTCTCTGAGAATGTTACCAGGCTGGTTCTTCTACTTCCTCCTTGGTTGCTGGTTGAAAAGACGGCAAGCCAAGCCGTTCGCGGAGATGTCCAAGCGCTTGGATGCCATTGAGGTGCAGTGGAAGGACAGGATCCTCATGTGTGGACTTCGTAAGACGCGTTTGTTTGTCACTTTTGCGCGGGAGCCAGGCGATGCACCGTGCTTGCTGGTTGGCTTGCACATGAAAAGCGGAAGTAGCCTATGCCCGTGTGCAAAGTCAACAGCAACAATTGGAAGACTCCGAACATCCACAAAGCGATAGCTCACACGGCCTAAGCATGGGCACGCACATGGCCTGGATGTTGAACTGGAATGTGCCTGAACAAGCTTAGGCTGAGGGAAGAAGGCCCAAGTTGCAAAGCCGAATCAAACGTCTTGCCCTAGCAGTACATGTGGAAATCTGCGCTGTCCCACTTTTTTTTGTTAAGGGTTACGCGTGCCACCTACAAGCGAGTATTAAGCTCAGGGTCGCAGCGGTGTTGCTTCACACATCCCCTTCCGGGGAGGGGCCACCGGGCACCGCTGGTTGCACAGGTTGGTGGCGGGAATCGACCTGTGTATAAATTTCCCCGGGCGGCGTCACTTGCGTCGCTGAGTGCGTGCAGGAGCCCAAACTAGGGAGACTTCGGTCGGACTGTGCTACCCCCACGGTCTTTGTCTTGGATGTCTGGGCTCTTCTGAGAGGGGAAGGCGTTGCCGCATCAACCTCGGATGACCCCCTAGGACTTTGCAGCAAGGGTTCGCCCCTTGCACGTGTTTGTACAGTATACATATGGCACCCCCGTGTCCACATAGGTGCAGTGGTCTTTTGCTTGACCGCTGCGTGGAGGGCTGAGCATTCCCTGCCAAGTGAGGGCGTAGTCCCTTTCGTGTGGTTCCACTCAGCATGTCCGTTGTGCAGTGTACTTGCGGCATGGAACAGTGCGCTTTTTTTAAGAGCGCGGCCCACTTTGGGTGACTCCAGTGACTTCTGTGTCGAGGGCTTTTTGCATCCTGGCACTTCCCTCTCCTCCTCCTCCTCATGATCATTCCTGACACATCCTGTGAATGCCGTGAGGTCAAGTAGCATTCTATAGCATTCTTTTGGTTTGATTGACAGAAGCCCGTTCACGGAGGAGCTGCGGCGCGGTTTAGCTGCAGAGCTTGCGGCGCATGGCGCTTGCAGAGACAATTGGGAGGCGGGTTCAGAATGCTTCAGGATGTGCGGCTATTGAAAGTGTAAACTAACTGTGTCATGAACCAGATTTGATTGTAAGACATGCCACGTTAAGTTGTGGGAAATGGTCGCTACTCAGACCACGAGTGTTGCAGCTTCAGTTGCTGTGAAAGGCTAGTTGGCTAAGAATCTAGCCGCTCCCATGCCTTGAGGCTGTCGAGAATGCGAATCAGGCAGCAAAAGAGATGTTGAGGGAAGCACGTTTAGTGGCCACTGAGTAGGGCGCGCCTACGGCCTTGACATTTACACAGTGCAAAGATACCAGGGTCAGCTGTACTCTTTCCACGGGGTGCGCCTTGAAAGCCCCGTGGGCCCAGCGTCAAAGACGTGACGGCCCTTGAGGTGACATGCACCCTCCCACGGAACGCTAGCTCCTGGTTTGATAGCCATGATGGCTAGGAGCCGATTGCAAGGGCTTTTCTCAGAAAACCCAGTCTACCAGTTTCCGGAGCGCTGAAGGGCGCAATGGGCGGCTTGCCGAGGCAGCATGGCGTGAAGGGGTGGAAAACAAGCGAGCAAAGGCCTTTTTGTTGCATTGACAGACTGCTGCCAGTGCACAGCGGAAGCGCAAACTGCCCTAGGTTTTCCTGGATTGCCCAGAAAACTGAGCCCAAACAACTGAGGTGGAGTAGTTACCTAGTTCTTGAGTCAGTTAAGAGTGTTCAGCAACACCTTGCCATGGACTTGACAACACTAGAAGACAGGCTTGTCTTCAGTACAGCGTATCATGGTAGTTCTTGCTGTGCCAGCATGGCACTAACGTTGCCTGTGCCAGCGCGAATCCGAGAGTTGCAACGAGCTGTGGAGGGTTTGAAGATAGTTCCCAGATTGACACGCAATTTGAAACATGTTTTTTTTTTTGTGTGGCACGCTTACGCTTGCAAAGCTTCAAGGTGCCGAATCTTGCAGCTCGGAGCTTGCAGCTGGTGCCTGAGCACCGTGGAATTGCGAAGTACTTTGCTTGGCGTGCGCTCAGGCCCATGCGGCAGCGTTGGCAGCGACACAATGAACCATCCGCCTCACCAGTAGAAGTGGCCCCTCCTGCGTGTACGAATTGCCTGCATTTTGAAGAGGAGTTGCTCCCATTGCAGGCAGATGGAGCCAAGGGTTTGTCTGTGGCAGTTATCGGTGGGCGACCTGTAAAACCTGAAGGCGGCGGAAGGGACGCTTCCGATGCGTTGCTGGCAGGTGGAGGCATTGCCGGCCTGGCGTGCGCTCGACGCCTAGGCCACGACCCTGGCTCCTTGCCGAAGCTTCGATGTGCTTCGATGCGCTTGTCACGCTTGGCAAGCTTTGCAAAGAACTTGGCAGGTAGCCTGGGCCTGAAAGCCACGGTCTTCGACACTGGGAAGAGAGGGCCAGGTCCTTGCTGACATCCATCCATGGAACGAGTAAAGAGACGGAGTGAATCAGGCCCGGTGGCCGAGCCTCTTCGCGAACCTGGTCTCTTGGACTCCAAACGGTCAATTCCTACAGATACTCTGAGAAGAGTTTGACAGTGTGCACTTCCACAGGCGAGGCCAAATATGTGACCATGCTAGCCAGTTTGTCACGGCCACGGACAAGGACTTCAGAGAGCTGCTCGCTTCCTCAGGAAGCGCGCTGTTGCAGAGGGGCAAACTTCTTTTCTTGTGGCCTCCGCTCCAGGCGCTGCCCGGCCCTTCGGTGGCGATGGACGATTTGGAACGCTGAGCCAAAACGGCTTTGAGCCCTTGGACGACGGCGTTGAACGCTGGGTGGGGCTGGAGGGCATGGGAGGCCTCGTGCGAAAACTTGCCGAGGGCCTGGACATCCAGCAGGACAGGACGGGAAGTGCACGAGTCCCGCATTTCACACCTTGACCTTTGCAGGACGTCTGGGTTCCACCCTCCAACGGACTTCAATGCTCACGCAGTGATGGGCGCTGGGGCGTCACAGTCTGATCCTCAGGAAAGATCCAGAGGCCTCCAGGCCAGGCGGCAGAGCCACGCCTGTGGGGACTTTGCGCGGCCTTGCATTGCGTTTTGACGAGGTGCCCGGACAGCATGGTCGGGATGTAAAATGGTTCGATGCTGCAATCATCGCTCACAATGGGAAGTGCGCCGAGCGCCTGACGTCCTCAACTCCGGCTAGAGAGGTGCCTGTATGTGCAGAGCATCTCAAGTGGAAGCTCTGAGACTCTGACTCATTTGCTGAAAAACTTATCCAGGCGAAGTAGAACTTTGAGGAAAACTTGTGCAATGGATTTGTTTTTATTAAGCTATGTATACGTCCTTTTTTACGTTATCCGTGTCTTTTTTGTTCTGTTTTGGTGTGATGTCTCAAGGAATGGCCTGCTTCTGTTTGTTTTGCGCGTTATCTCTGTCTTCTTTTGTTGCTTGATCTGTGTCTTTTTCCTTTATGGAATCATTCTACGGGTTGCCTTTGGAGCAGTTAACCCTGAAGGACGGAGTCAGATAACGCTTAAAGATTATGGATACTATTTCTCGTATTACAAACAAGAGTGAGAAGATCCCGGACTCTTATCCCAGGCTATACCCTAACGGAGAAGCCCGACACCCTAAGCCCTAGCCTGAACCTTAAAAGGAGCAAGATAAACCCATCTTTGCCGCCTAGCGGAAAAGGAGCGCTAAATAAAACAGGATTAGGATGATTCTGAAAGAAACCCCGAACGCTAAAAGGAGTAAGCCGAGCCCTCAACCCCGAAAGGAGTGAGATAACCCTGAACAAAACCCACTAAACCCTAAACCCTAAAGAAAAAGCCCTGCACCCAAAACCTTAAACCCTGAACCATGAACCGAAACCCTAAACCCGAAAGCGTCAACCCAAAACCCAAAACCCTAAAAGGCTGAACCTGCTGCAAGGGTTAGTGCGCTTCATGGCGCTCTTGTACGCGGACATCATGCGGGCCTTGGTGGTGGCAAAGCCTGCCGAGGGATATCAGGGAGACGTGGAATCCATGCTGCAGCAGGACATGGTGGTGAGGACCAAGCAGGGCGCAGGGAAGAAGATCAAGCAAACAGCCATGCTGAATATCGAGGGTGGCAGGCTTGGCAACAGCAGTGGCGAGCAGCGCAATGCACTTGTGCCAGAAGGACAAGTGGACATGGGTGGGGGACAAGGACCTAAGGAGAAGAAATAACAAGTTTGGTACAGATTCTCAACAGAGCTGGATCGCCATGCTCCAGGCGCACCTTGGGTCCATGGAAGGACCCAAAACCCGCAGGATTGCAGGATGCATGCGCGGCTTCCTGGAACCATGGCGAGTGACAAAGCTACCGCACCTTGTTGATCCTCTAAAACGACCTTCGAGTACGACAGCTACAAGCAACAGCTACGAGACCTACAGCGACCCTTTTAACGCCTGGAGGACCGCCCTAACTACAGACTAAGCCTAGCAAGCGGATCTTTACCTCCAGGTCTTAGGCGGCCTTTTTAAAGAATTGCGGGGCTCTAGACACACTCCCTGTTTGGACTTAGTCCAAACCTACGAAACACTGACAGGAAAAACTACTCGGGACAGCGCTTTCACAGTATCCCGATTCCCCAAAACTAGGCCCTGATGAATGATAGGGACTTAGGGGACTTAACTACTCCAGGGGCTTGCACACAGGCCAGGGGCGAAGGATGCGCAGACCTGCAGCACCCCGGAGGTTGGGACAGTCCCGAGTGTGGTAGTATTCGCCGTCCTTGGGGGCAATGGCAAAGAAGTGGCCAGGAGACGAGGTCGCTCGGCGGCGACGGCGAGGGGCAGACTCTGTAGAGCCAAAAGGCATAGACTCAGGATGCCACCAGCTCAAGGCCGCACTGAGGAACCACTTCAACGCATCGAAAGTCCAACAGACAACACCCACAATAACCATCCAGGCAGGCAACATGACCGGGTCATCGTCCGTATCAACTACAAGGCTGAAGCCATCTACTCCTCCCAACAAGCTCAGGAAACAAGCTCAGGAAGACCAACGCAGCCAACACAGGAGAAGGCGCCGGACTAGCAACCGACGTTGCAGTAGAAGGGCGCCCAACATTCTCAACTGCAGCCACACGAACCGGGGCCTCAGCAGCTTGCTCAGGGAGCAACATCCCCAGAAGCTTAGGCATCTCGCCCAAGCGAGGCTGATGCAGCTGCTTTGTCAAGAGATCACCCAGCATGTGGCGCCCAGGCACGTGATACAACTTCCAACGCTCCTCCTCGACGGCCTGGATCCAAGCACGGGCCCCTAAACGCAGATGACGCGTACGCCAGGCCCCCGAAGGGTACTGCAACAAAGCCACCGCAGAAACAGAGTCGTTCAACATGGTGCGCTGCGCAGCAGTGCCAAGCAACTCCGACAGAAGCGGCGTAACGCTCTCACCCAGGACAGCGCTGTAGTGCTCTGTCGCAACGACAGCCAAGCAATCGCCCCATCACCAAACATAGCAACAAGACCCGTTTGCGAACGCGCAGAGTCAGGGCCAAAGCTCGCGTCGCAGTGCATCTCAAGCAGATGCCCAGCACCTTTAACCCGAAAAACGCCATCAGGGCCATGGTCACCGCGCGCAGGGCCATACCGAAACCGAGCCTTTAAGGTACTGAAGCACGGAGTACCCTATCTTTATAGCCAAAGAAGGGGACCTAAGCCAAGTAAGTTCTCCAGCTATTCCCTGAGCTGCGCGCACATCCTCGGCTGTCGCAGCAGCCTCAGCTTCAACAGCAACAGGCATCACAGGAGCTGGCGCAGGATACTCGATCTGGGGGTACTTCTGCAACAAGTCAAGCAAGTACGTTTTCTGTGACAAGTGGAACGCGCCCGAAGGAGTACGACGCACTTCGACACCGAGAAACTTGACCGCAGTACTTCCCGCCCAGTCAGGCTCCGAGCAATCCCAAACCTTAGTGATCATCGCAACCAAGCACTCCGCCAGGGGACGCGGCGCCGTCAGCAAAAGGTCATCCACGTAAACGCCCGCAACACCCAGAGCTCTGCTTGCTCCTCAGACAACGGATGAGCGGGACCAGGATCCTCCTTAAGAACAGGAAGGGAAGGCAACTCCGCGCCCGAACGAACCAGCCAAACGCAAACACCGGCACTGCTTTGCCCAGCTCACGGTCCATCAGCAGACCCCAAGCCCTAGGACTCACATTGAGTCCGTAGAACGCCCCTTTGACGATCCATCTCTCCTGCAGAGGGCAGATCTTCACGCGCACAAGCGCCTTAGGCGGGGCCGTGACTATGATGGTCGAGGGAAGTACTTCAGACAAGCCTGCGTTCAAGAACGTTTTCAAATTTCTTCACATCCAGCGTGGCGGCCTCCGGACTCCCAACTTCTCAACCCAGCAACACGCAACTGGCAACGGAATGCAACTCCATCAAGGGCACTGGTGGAAACCGGAGCCTTGGCAGAACGCTGAACAGTACCAAACTCGTGAAGGAGACACTCATACTCATCCCTGGCAGGAGGAATCCACAACTCAAGCTCAGGCTCAACATCACTCCAGGACAGAGTTTTTGTTTGCAAGAAGGGAACTTCCTCAGAGGAATCTACCAAAGCTTCAGCCTTGGCAGCCCAGAACTTAGGGTTTTCTCCCTCTTGGTCAACAGCATGCATCTCAACAGTCCGCTCCAACTCCAACACCTGCCGGCGAAGATAGCAATGGTCTCGGTCGAAGCCGCGCCAGAACCGCAAGCAACTTCCTTAACCAACGCCTTTTCTTCAGCAACCAACACATGCCGAAGACGGACCGCAGAGTCAAAGAGAGCATCTGAATCGACTACAGGATCCAACTGAGGAGAGCCATCAGCTCTAAGAACAGCAAACTCCTCCAGAGAGGGCTCACTTGTGGGGCAAGAGAGGTGTGGCTCAACACTAGCATCCGCGACAAAACACTTCTTCAACGTTGCAGCAAGCAAAGCCACACCAGAAACACAGATGGATATGTTGGGATCTTTCGACCCAGCTTTACCATCACAGAGCGCAGATATAGTGGAACCTTTCGGTTCATCTTCACCGCAGCTCTGAACATGGTCTTCAACACAAGCTTCAACAAACATCCCTAAGAAAAACATCAACCTCCTCGCCAGCTCCCCCCAAACGACTTCCTTGGCCCTCGATACAGGAAAACCCAACGTCTCAAGCCATTCAACACTCGCCTGAGGAAGGCGATCCACACCCCGAGGTGTGTACGTCGCAAGATTCAAACGGCGGTGCTCGGAAGGCGCTGAAGCGTGCCACAAATGAGGAGGAAACACAAGAACTCCGTCACGAGGTCGAAAGACACAGCCCTTGACAAAAACTCCGGACCCTTTGGGACACTCCTGCCACTCAGCAACAGAATCACAGCAGTCCTCGTCCTCAATCCACAAAAACCACCTTGGGTCAACGGAATCACAATGTTCAGGGAGCCACGCAAGTTATGGGAGTCTCGGTGTGCCTCAAGACTGCACCCATCAAGGATACCCACAGCAGCAAAAGGAATGCCGATCCTCGAACGGACAAAGGCAGTGAGGTACTTCACCAAAGACTCAAACTCCCTGCGCGACGAGGACACGCCATACAGGAGGTTGAGCATACGTGCCAGCCACAAACATATGCGAGGCAGGAGCTTCTCCAACCACAACAGAACGGCGAGAAGATTTGCAAGGCAACAGCTCAACCAAGGCCCACAAAGAGGCAGCGTCGGAGTTGCACCGAGCTAGCCGCACCTGAGCAAGATGGCAGCGACACCATGCCAACAGCGCCTCCACCTCCTGCGCCGGGATCCACGGTCAGGGCCTGGTCCACCCGGCGAGTCCTCGTGAGTTAATAAAACTCTCCCAAGTTGCTCGGAAGAACGGTGCATCTCAGGCCAAATCAAGCGAGCTTGGATGATTTACCAGGCAGGGGCCTCTCCATGCTGAGCGGCGCGGAACAAGAAGGAGCGAAGGTCAGGGTCCTCTTCATAAGTGATAGCAACCTCAATCTCAACAGTGCCCAACGGGTCAAGCTCGTACTCCGTGTTCTCCTCAGTAAGATCCTGGGGCTGAAAGCCCAGAACCCAAGGGTTCGCGCCCCCTCGAGACCCAAAAAAGGGCTGTGCAGAAGGCCGCCGAAAGGTCATCATAAACATGCCTCAAGGTACCGTACGGTCGACCGATCGTCAACGGAGTCCAACCTGCG